TAATCTTAACACAGAATGCACATTTCTTTAAAAAGAAGTGAATTTTTTTTTTTAAAAAAGTCACTTTTATCATCAGTTGTTAAACTAAAATTCTAGTAGACATTTTAGGGACACAGTATTTTTTAAAAAACACATTTGTAAGAATACATTGCTTTTCTTCACTGATACCACGTAAATGTAGCAGCTATGTGTGAAAGTTTACCCCATTACCATATTTACATCAGGCAACCAGAAAGCTTGTCATATGGATTCTCTTTTACCTAGATCTTTAAAAAATTTCACAATTGAATGCTGACAAAATACTTTTTTCTTTTATTTGGGTTAAGGCTTTTTTGTGTGTGGAGTCTAAATTCTCTATTATGATCATAGTGCATACTGAGCAATGTGCATAATTCTATGTTCAGAAAATAGTAATGATGTCTTAGCTAATCACAAATCATAATCATGTAAGAGCAGTTAGTTCTCCACGCATGTAACAGTGCCTGTATACTATTTTGAATTACAAGAATAATTGAATCTGTTTAATTTTCAGCTATCTAACTGGCTTCTCCTCTTTCACAATAATTCTGAAGCAAGCTCTAGCTTCCATTTCTTTTTTCTTCTTCTCCCCTCCTTCCTTCCTTTGTTTTCTGAGACAGGGTCTTCTTTAGATCTCAAGCTACTCAGACTGGGTTTGACTCTGAGATCCTCCTGTCTTAACATCCTGAAGTTCTGGGATTACAGGCAAGTGCCACCATGCTTAACCATTACCAATTCTTATTTAAGAGATAATTGACATCCTGTTGGAAAAAGGTCTACTGTTGAAGTGATTATTTTTTTTTTAAAGAATAGAAAGAATTTATCAAGAGAAAGAAAGCTTCTGTCTAAGAGGGTACGAAGGGGCCCTGGAATGTGGATTGCCCTGGGGTGATTTTTAAAAACAGAAACACATTGAAAAGATGGAATCAACAAAATTTGAAAACTTCTGAAATTGTGGTAGTCAAAATAATGATAGAAAAGAACCAATTTTTAAATTAAGTGTATTTTTCCCAGAAGATTTTAATGTTACCCGTTACACTGATCTGTTTCAGTGAAACATTATTTTAACTTCAAAACAGCATACCAAATATTATTAGTTCATATATCAAACATTTAATATCTCAGTATGTGGAAAGTAAGGAGTTTCTATTCAGCTGTTACCCTTTTAAAAATATTAGTCCATTTACTTTAAGACTTCATTAATCTTTTTCTTTCTTTTGGACTTTCTGATGTACTTTACTAACAATTCTTTTTTTCGTGGGAAGGGGATACCAGGAGTTGAACTCAGGACATGACACTTGCTAGGCAGGTGCTGTGCCACTGAGCTATATAACCCTGGCCCCAGTAACAATCTTTTTAACTTTGCATTTTAGCTTTTCAATCTAAAAATGAATTTTAATTGGAGAAACCAAAAATAAATTGACAGGATTGAAATGCAATTTCAATTGTTGCAGTTGCTGGTCCCAGATTTTCTTTGCAGGAAGACAGGTTTTACACAGAAAATTAATCTGACACACACCGGGGTATACTTGGGGCAAAAAAGACACTGGAACTTTGCCACCCCAAAGTATGGAATATGTACATACAAATCCACAGGATTTAAAGCTCTCTGTGTATTCAGTATTTGCTTCTTTTTGGTAGTATGGGTTGTTAAGGGATAAAGTTACTACATCTAGCTTTGCAAGTCTTAATTTCCTTTTATCTTCAATTTCTAAAATTCTGCAGCAGCCTGCACCAAAAATGATTCAGAATGTGCCATACCTGGCCCTGAATCAAGGCCAGCAGCTTCCTGATGCTGTTGGTTTCAAACAGGAGCCTAAAGAAATGTCTTTCTATGGTCTGTTGGCCATTTCAGAACTTGAGCAGTGAAATGGTCAGTTCATTAGAAAGAAACAGCTTGAAGCAACCCCTCCACCCCTGGTGAGTGGCTGTGAGTGGGCAGGCTCCAGTGGCCCAGGACAGGAGCCTCCAGTGATTACTGGGATCCTCACTATGCTGGGACCTGGAGCCCTGGGAAACCAAGCAACCCCTCCCCACCTGCCTGATTGTTACGTTGAACCTCCATATACATGAAAGTGTGGTCAACTATTTTGAAGAGAATGAGAGACTCTACCATAGCCATTAGTGACTTTCCTATTGTCTGGTTTTGAAGACCTTAAACAATTTCCTCATTCTGTTCAGATCAGTTTTATGTTATGTTGTTTTGATGAATTCTCTGTATGTGAAGACATGGATAGCTATTTGGAAGAAAACAAGAGACAATATGATAGTGAAGATCTCAGGCTGTCTAGCTTTGAAATTTATATCTCTTTCATTGCTTTCTTATGTCCTATTTTGTTCTGTTATGTTGTGTTTAGTTTTATCCCCTTTAAAATTAAAAAAAACAAAAACAAAAACAAAAAACAACCCAAACCCAGGAATGTGCTGTTCCAGTCACACTACAGGCTGTATTTATTTATTTATTGCTTTTTTTTTTTTGTACTGGGAATCGAACTCATGACCTTACTTGACAGGCAGGCGCTTAACACTGCTGAATTAAATCCCCAGCCCCATTTTTTATTGTTTTTGTGATAAAATTTTATTTGTATTTTTATTGTAGCTCACATTGAAATATATTTCTTTTTTTAAAATTCATTTTATTGTAAGATAGAAAAAATGAAGCAGCAGAAAAAGAAAAAGAGGAGGAGGAGAAGGAAGAAGAACAAGAGGAAGGAGAAAAAGCTGAAGGATAAACACTATAGCAAAATTTTAAATGACATCCATGGGGTAACAATGGTACATGCATTGCACATTGTCATCCCCAAATCATTCACAAGACAACTGTACCGGCCATATTTATAGTCAGATAGAAGGAAAGGACACGCAGGAAACGGAAGTGACGTGCAGGAAACGGAAGTGGCACAGGGAGAAGGCTGGATTTCTGCCGGCCCCGCCTTATTCGCACAGGGTTGGAGCTGCTGTCTGCCTGTGATTGGCAGAAGCTCTCCTCCAATCTTGGCTGAACAGGGCTGTTTGGTACAAGGGCAAGTTCCTGGGTTAGGTTTTCCTTTTTTTTTTACCAAGAGGACCCACAGATACTTCAGGTCAAAATTAGTTTGCTTGAAGAGTGTAATCTATTTGTATTGCCATTTTTAGAACTATCAAAACTAGATTTTTTTCTGTTTTCCCTATTATCTGAGTTAACTTGTTCAACAAACACATTATTATGCATTAATATCACCAGGCGAAGCCCAAGGAAGGTAAAAATAAACATAGACTCTCTTGTCAAAACCTCACATAAACTTTGTCGGGAAGACAGATTTCTAAACAGATCGTTTTTAATAAAGATGTGTGAGGGTGGAAGGTATGTAAGTGGGAGATTATAAACAAAAGACATAGACATGAGAAATGGCCAAGGTGCTGAGGCTGTGTTTGTGTACTATATCAGGTGTGAGATAAAATGTTAAACAACTTTAGGGGGATATAATTCACAGGTTCTATAATTCATCCTTTCAAGGTGCATAGAAAATGATTTTTAGCATACATATTCAATTGTACATTCTCCCTCAATCTAGTTTTTGAACATTGTAAAATATATTTTTGAAAGATGTTAAAATGTATTATAAATAATTTAAATTTAATTAATTTTTAGTATAGAAGAAATATTCAAGAAGCATGTTAGGCTAACTGCCTAACAGCTGTTATGAATTATTTAGCATGTTTCAAAGACAGTTACAAATTTATTCTCTTTTATATTACTGCTGGCTGGATAGATTGACTTAAAAGTTTTCCAATTATCATAACATTTCTCACCTAATAAAAATGGAATCTATCCTAGTAACAAGTTTTATAAACTTGCATAGGTCTACAGTAGTGTTTATCTTTTGTAGAAGAGGAAATTATTTAGTGGGCAATGTACAAAATTATCAAAAAGAAACTGTAAATCTAATAATAGCACAATTTAATGACAAAGATATCTATTAATTAAAATTATAACCTCATATTGGTTAAGAATTTTTGGGGTCAGGGATTTAGCTCATGGTGTAAGTGCCTGCTTGGCAAACGTGAGGTCGTGAGTTTGATTCCTGGCACCAAATAATTAAATAAATAAATGAGAATTTTCATTATTAGGACCTTCTGGCTTAAATTAGTTTACATGGGCTGGGGATTTAGCTTAGCAGGCAGGCACTTATGCTGTGAGCTAAACCCCCAGTCTATGTATCTATAACTTTAAATTCCATTGTTTTGAAGCAGAAATTTCAAAAAACACGTATAAATGTACTATGTCTGAGTTAACCCCATGTCTTTTTATCTAATGCAAAAGTAAGCAGTTTAAGGCCTTTGTTTAAGGATTTTATTTCTTTAGTCAAATTTCTAAGTAGAAATTTGAAAAGTTATACTTAGATTATTTCAAGCCAAACTAATTGATAAGTAAGTCTCAGAATACAATTTTGGAACAGTACAGAACTTAGTTGTGTTTCAAGAAAGAGAGGCATATTAGGATACTTCAAAAACAATGAGAATTTGAAAATAAACTTTTGAGATTAATTCTGTCATACATCATTTAAATAACATTGTTAAATGAGGAAATTCATGTATATCCGAATGTATTTACAGGGATGTCAAGTGAATCATAAAAATTCTGTGACTCTGCTGTGAAAGTTTTTCTTGTTACCCAGTAGCTAGGTTGTCAGCAAGAATGGATTAACTGAAAAAGATTAAATAAAAAAGTATAAGTAAAATGTGTTTATACAAATTAGTTCACTCATAAATTTTTATTATATATTATATATATTAGATATATGTAAAACAAATATTTGAGTAACTGAAAAATTATAATATAAGAACATGCTACTATTTTTTTTGTGGATTTTTAGTTTTTCAGGCTTGGTGCTGAGGACTGAACCCAGGCCTTCCAGCTTGCTAGGCAAGCATTCCACCACGGAGCCAAATCCCAGCCCCAAGAACATATTACTATTATTAAAACAATTTTTATTGCTCACAATATGCTGGCTTCAGTGGTGAACACCTGTAACTCCAGCTACTGAGAAAGCTGAGGCAGGAGTCTTCTGAGTTCAAGTCCAGCTCTGGGCAGCAGAATAAGACTCTTGCTCTGAATTAAATAAATAAATAGATAGATAAACAATTCTACAATAAATTTCCTGAAGACATCTTGTTATGAAATATATCAAACGATTTATTTTAATGACTCCTGTACTTTAATCAGTTTCGTAGTAAGACATAGCAGCAGCAAAATGTCAGGATATGGATACAAGAGTATCCTGGAGTTCATGTACCTGCAATGCTTTGGCTTGTAGTCTCACCACCTGTGAGCGAGGACCTCCAGTGGTGTGACGCTCTGGGACTCCCGCTGTGGTATCGCTTGCTTATTCTGCATTGAAAAACGCTTTGCTTGATCCATGATGCTGTGGAAATGCCATACCTAGAACTCAGCAGATCGGTCCACATCGCTTACAGAATCATGACTTGGCTTGTGGAGGGAGCTCTGCTCAGAACTGCACCCTCCCTACAGTTTTCAGACTGAAGGCACCACCAGGGAAAGACAAACACCCGCTTTGTGCTTCATTCTGAAACAGCTGTGAACATTTCGCCTGTGTTTTCCAGTACACAATATGCTTACTCATGGTGCCATGAGATGGGATTTTAGAGGGTATGTAGAACAATTATTTTGTTTCAATAATTACTTCAGTCTCATGTGTTAGAAACCAATGGCCATCCCAGCTCCTTTTACTTCAGAATCATTGTTCCATGGGATACTATTAAAGTAGTATTTCATTTTAAGAAAAGAAAGACTCAATTTATAGGCAAATATTGTTAGTGTAGCCAGTTCATTCTCACACAGAAAAATATATGAAAAGTGAAGTTTAGCAGAATGAGTTCCTGCTTTAATTATTGTTATAGTTGATACAGTGTATCAACTTGAGTTTAGAAATTTAATTAAGTGACTCAGCAAGGAGCCAGGATCCTTACTTTGTAAATATCCTCATCCTGTGCAAGAGGAGGGCACAGAGGTTCTGTGATTGCTACACCTGCCCTAGTGGGTGGTAACCTGCTTCCTCCTAACAGAGGAAAAGAGGTTTGCTTTCTCCTCGCCCCTTTTAGCTCTGGCCACTTTTTCTGGCTGCTGCCTTTAAGTGTTGCCCCTGTGCCAATGCCACTCTGCCGTGGAGCCAGCTGATAATAAAGCGCTACCTCCACGAACTATAAGCTAAATAAACCTTTTCTTCTTTCCTTTGGGGTTCTGGGTATTTTGTTCTAGCAACAAGGGAAAAGTAACCAAGATAACTGATATCCACAGTGGACACACACACACACACACACACACACACACACCAGACCGTGTGTAATCTTTCCCTTCCGGACAGCGAGAGGTTAGCAGAGAAGGATGCTCATTGTCCTGTACTGAACTTATTGTACACTTCCTTTTAATCAGAGTTTTCCTGTCTCAGAAACTGGGGACACAGGATGAAAGCAGATTGGTGCGGGTGGAATCCACGTGGCCTAACAAGAAATTCCTTCGTGCCAGCAGAAGACCTTGGCTTGTTCTGCAAATCCTAATGAACGGTGAGTCCGCAGGGAAGACGCTGGGCGGAAAGTCTTGGCGGATGCTGGTGAAGCCCTCACGGCAGCAGTTCCCTCCTGATGAGCTTCCTCACTCAGCGGACTCTTAAGACAACAGGTTATTTTTATTGTTCTGGTTCCACACCGCTTCCTTAGCCGCACACGAAGGGAGTTTAGACACGGGTCTGCGTGAGCATCCTTCCTGCTTTGGCCGCCACAGTGTCTTCATGTTTACCCAGACAGTTGTCACAGACATCAGCTCTCCTTCACGCAGGATTTCCTTGCTTTCTCCCATTAACTGATTGAAAATGAAAGACTATTAAACTAGAAATTAGGCGTTTAGTAAAATATCAATTTTGTGTAAAGCACGCAATTCAGCGGGTTTCATGGTTACAGAGCCAGCCAAGACCAGAACTGCCTGATTCAGGTAGCCGGAGTCACCTCACTGCACCGTCATGTAAGTGAACCGCATTCACTGATTTGTGAAGTTGTTTTCTTCTCAGTGAGCGCTCGGGGCTGTGTAACTTATCAGTTTCAGATGCTGAATGTTAAATGACCTGAGCAGGTCAGTGAATGCCTGCAAACAAGGAAACTCCCACAATACAGAAATTGTAGGAATACGTCTTGGTTAGACGGGAGGACGCCGTGGGATGCTGGGCCCTCTGCATGCTCGTGATGGCTCACGGTAATGTGTCGTGTATTTCAAAATGCCCGAGGGAAAGGGTTTTAAATGTTCTTCCCACAAAGCAGTGATAACTGATCGAAATGAGAGATAGCCAATCAGCCTGATTTGATCATTCTACAATGAATGTGTGTAACACAATACCACTTGTAACCCATAAGTGGACACAACTGTTATCTTTTGTCAATTAAAATAACTTAAGAAGCAAATTGAAAGAAAAAGTATAAAAACAGAAGGCTACTGGGCCTCCCCTTGGTTTTTAGTCTGCTTCTTATTAGAGTTAGATGTAAATTCTAAGGACTAAATATATGAAATGCCAGAAAGATTACAGTAAATTTGTATAAAATATAAGAAAGCAAACCATATTTTCATATTGCACCTAATTTAGGAGAATGGAAACATAATCAAGGAAAGCAGTGATTACATTGGAGGATGGGGACATCTTAAAGCAAGAATCCAGTAGAGAAAAAACATGGCATAGAATAAATTAATGGAAATTATAATGAGTGCTCATGTACAATTTGCTTAGGGAATAATTTTGGCAGATTAATGAAGAGTAACTTGCTTTTAAACAGGAGGAGAATAAACCATATTCTTGCTTTCTGATCTCTGGTAGTATTGCTATTTTAGTACGATGTCACCAAAATAGAAAAATGGTAACCTTGAAATTATAGCAATTATTTATGTCGATTACAGGACAAAGTATAATTTTCCACTGTTGGAAAACAGATCCTGTGGACTCCCTGTACTGTGTTCTGCCATTTGGCTGGCAGGTAGTTCCTATAGAATTACAAGGACAACTTTGATCCACAGTCCAAAACAGTGCATTGCTTTACGTTCATGTTTGACGTGCATGCTAATTTCATTTCCTGTGATTTTCTGTGCTGGGTATCTGTCGTGCCTGAGACAGCGATGGCTGAAAAGAACAAGCACCACTTTGCTTGCTCACAAGTTTGGGTTTGGCCTCGGCCTGGGTGAGCAGTGCTGCCCAGGTCTCTCGTGGGAGGGCTCTGAGGTGCACAGGCTCATCGCACAGATTCTGGTCCCCAGCACGGAAGAACTCTGTAGGCATCTTTCTGTTCCCTTTAAGGTGCTGTATGCTGCTTTTCCACGGTGGCCAGAGCAAGCATCTCTCCTGGCAAGGCCAGCAGAGTTTACATGGCTTTTTTTTAACCTGGCCTCCAAGCATCATGGTACTGTCACTCTCTTGACCGCATTCTGTCTGAAGGGACATTGACAGAGCCCAAACAGTTTTGAGGGGGGCATCGGCTGTACTTTCTGATGGAACGACTGTTTGCTGGGCTGTGCGTGTCTCCCATGGGGTAGTGTATTTCTGTCCATCTTTCAGTTGATATTTACATACCTTGCCCCCAGCTTACTCTCAGCACACAAGCCACAGGCAGACTCTGGGGCAGGCCGCTGTTGTATGTGAGGATCATGGTTCACTTAAAACTTTTGCTCTAATATTAAACATAACTTTTTATTTTTCTGTTACAGTTTGAAAGGTACTTTGCATACCTTGTGGAATGGCCCATTGGGTAGGCACACATACATGTTCATCAACATTTGTAAGAATAATGTTTTCCTTTCCAAAAGCATGAGATCTGTGGAAGACTACTTTGAAAACTAAGTTATGGTGTATCCTTTTATAAATATAATAACTGAAAGAGCCAAGAGAAGAATTAACACACTGCCCTGTTGAGTAAAGGAGCTACGTTCATTCACAGACCAAACTGCTTACCTTTGTGTTGAATAAATAAAGCATGTTAGAAGCTTGTAAAGTATGAAAATAAAGATGCAGCTATTTCCTTAAGTATATAACTAGATCAATAATTTCCACCCTTTGGGATGTGATTTCAAAACAGTTTTTGATGTTTTGCTTCGATATAGTGTGCTTTTAAAAACTTTTATTACCTTTTCTTTCTTTTATTAAAAGTTATCTAGATAATTGTGATTCATCAAATGCAGAAGTGAAAAGTACAATAAGAATTTACCTAAATACAAGGTTTCAGTTTCATCTTACACTTACATTTTTGGCAGTCTAGTTCTAAGAAACTATGAGGGGAAAATAATCAGTCTCTCTGGTGTAGGGGAAAATGTAACCCTCAACCTGCTAATATGCCAAGTTTATCTTCCCTGAAATTGAAGAATTCTAAGAACAATGGCAGTTAAGAGTAAGAAAAAATCTGTTGAGAGTTACAGATCCTGGGTGACAGGGGGGGACTGAGACTGAGTTGCCAAGGAGCCCATGTTTCTGAAAATGTTGTATAGTGCAAAATATTTTATAATTACAAAAATTACGAGGTGGATACAACATGGCTCAATACAATTATCAGCCAATACGATTATAAGTATAGTTGTGTTACGGTTTGTGTCTGGATGTCCCCCCCCAAAGCCTCATGCAGTTATGAGGCAGGCTTCTAGAATTTATGATTGATTCATGGCCCAATGCTAGGATTATGGGTGTGAGTGCTATACCCGCCCCAGGATGGGTGACTTACATTACAATATAAGGAACAGAAACAGACTTCTTTGCAGGATCCTTCCCTTTTGCTCTTGTTGCCTCTGCTGCCTTCTGTTGCCATGAACTCTTTCCTCTGCCACGTGCCACCCTGCCTTGGAGCCAGCTGAGTATGGACTGAAACCTCCACAAACTGTGAGCTAAATAAACCTTTCTTTCCTTAACTTTGGGTGTTGGTATTTTGTCTCCGCAATGAGAGAAAACCAACCAACATGAGCTGCCTAGGTAATATTGATCCAGTGAGAAAGCAGGTCACATAGCAAGAGTACAGGGAAAGAACAAAGACATTTTTAGCAAGAAATGGGTTGGGAGGTACTGATCACCCAGCTGGGCGACTGATATCTGTCTAGACTTCATTGGATCAGGTGATACCAAGTATAGTATAATCTCAAAGTATGGTTTATCACTTGGGAGGGGTCTTTGTCTTGAGGCTTGGCCTTCAACTGATGTGCCTCCAGCCATAGCTGTGATGGATTCTCATCTTGTGCTCTGATTCTCTCAGGCCCAGCCCTGTCTCACTGCCCAGAATATTTCTGCCTGACCTAGCTGTCTATAATAGTTCTTTTGTTTTGTGTTCACATAGTCGCTAGCATGACTCAAGTTTTGGAAACTAAGCAAGTATTTTAAAGTAGGCATTTTTCTTCAGTTACCTGAGAAGCGAGTAATAACACCAGCTTCCCTGGATATAAACGCTGCATTCATGTTAATAACCAGAGTGAAGAAAGAAAGTAAGTGATGGTGATGTTTTCACACTTTCCCCATTTTCTCTAGATTCTGTGAGCAGCTGACTATTAATAGGCCAGTAAGGTGTGTGTGTGTGTGTGTGTGTGTGTGTGTGTGTGTGTGTTGGTCTGGTTTCGGAGAGAGAGTCTCACTGTACATTCTAGGTCTCACCGTGTTAGGCTGCTCCTACCTCAGCCTCATGAGTGCTGAGATCATGTGTGTCCCTGTCCTCCTGTCCTGGCTGCGAGACCATCTGCAGGTCAGGGCCCACCCTCTTTAGAGTAGAGGCACCAAGGATGATTGCATTTCAAAGGCTTGGCTCCTTGGTCCTTCAGAAAGACCTTGATGAGCTGTGATCTTTACATGTCAAAGAAATGGAGAGAGGATTTCAGGACTCCAGGAAACAGGTCAGAGCCCACAGTCTGGAAGAAGCCTTCTGCAATTTGGAGGAGACAGGGAGCAGAAAAGGCCCTTGCAGGTGAATTCCTCGCTGGATCCTCAGCAGAGCTGCCTGGGGCTCAGCCCCCTCTCCCAGTCTCTTTCTGGGGTCCCCGCAGGCAGCATCAGCCAGCGGATCTCCTGTTCTGGGATGGCACAGCTGCATTTCCTGCAGGTGACATCTTATCCCTAGACCCTTGTCCCCTCCTCCTGAGCCCCTGGGAGCTCCCTATTAGCCACACCAAGAGAAAGGTTCCTTCTAGTCTGGAGCAAAGCCCCAGGGATCAGTCCCTGTTGTGTGCTGAGGTTGCTGCTAACTAGGTCCCTTTCCACTCTCACTAAGAATGCTCTCGCAGGGGCTTCTGGGCCAACCTTGGCACCTGTCTGGTCTGGAAGTCCTCAGCTAGCCTTACCAAGTGCTGGCAGCCCACCCATCAGCCCCAGGAGGATGTGGCTGGAGTTCTCCAGCCACAGAGCCAAGGAACTCCTGGGCTGCTACAGAGCCCTGCAGGAGACCAGCAGATGCCCCAGCTCCCGTGGCCTGGCAGTCAGGGCTCTGAACCTCTGGTCTGCAGGAAATGCAGCTGGACACAGTTAGGGGACCTTTTTGTATCCTAGGGCCTGACTTTCACGGAGGAAGCCAAGAGAGGCTGGCAGGTGGCTGTTGTGGAAGCCCTATTCCCTATTGTCCTGCTCCTAGGAGGATGTCACCACCCAGCCTCCCTGGCAGGAGTGGGATCGGAACCAGAAAACCAAATCACTCATCTGTGCCCACCCTCCCTCACCAGAGCCACACCTCTGCCCTGACAGAGGGTGAAGGGCCAGACGTCAAGGCGTGGTGTTCCTCTGTTGCCTCTACGGCACGGAAGAGACTGATTTGCTTCTTTCTATTCAAGCAAGGAGGTCTCTTATGCCAAAGCCCACACCTGGCAGTGCCACTCTCACCTGCCTGACCTCCCCAGGCTCTGCCCTCCCTCACTGAGGCTTTGGAGGTGTGCGACAGACAGAAATGCCTGCAGCGCCTGCTGAGAAGTGTCCTGATAACATTTCCTTTTACTATTTTTAGTCCTGTCAGAGAGGCTCCACGCTGAAAGTGACGAGGAAAAGTAAGAAAAGGGTAAAAGAAAAAAGAAAACGAAAGTCGAGTGGCTCGAGTGGCCTTCTGGTTTCCCAGGTTCCCTGGCTGATGCCTCAGTTTTGCAAAAAGCTGTGTTGGCCGGAGCCACGTAACCACAGCAGTCACCCCTGAACAACACCCACGTCATAATGTCCGCTCGGGGTGGGCCTTCGTTAGGAAGCACAAAGATCTAAAACAGACACGGGCGTATCCCAGGTGGGGTACTCAGCACAGTGAATGCATCGGCACTCCGTATACTGATCTGTAAGTGTGGAAGGGAATCCTTCATGGACGTTGCAAATCATTCTTAAGTGTGCATATAACAACAAAGACAGACACAAGTTCTTTCAAAAGCTAATATGATGAGAGGACCCCACCCTGTTACCATAATCAAAGTGCTAAAATAAACGAAAGAGAAGAGGAAACATAGACCTAAATCCATGAACCTGGGACGTTGATCATGGCAGACAGTCTCCCAAAGCAGCTGAAAATCTTAGATTACTGTTATAACAACTGGTGATGCAGATGGGGACAGTCAGTCTTAGTGCATGCCATGACCGGATTTCAGGCAGCTTAAAATTGTCAGATTACATAGAGAAAGTAAAACTTTATAACTTTTGGAAGAAATACAGAAACTTTTTCTATAGCACGTTAGAGAAGACTGTGTCGATGTCGCTCCTGGCCTGCAGGAAGAACACGCGACAGATTCTGACAGTGTGCAACCTTGCCTTTATTTGTCTCCACGTGGGCCCCGCGAGGCCTCCTCTCTGCCACCAGCCCTTTCTCGCCGGTGGACTTTCTCTATCTCTCTTTGTGCTTCCTCTCGTGGCGGGAAAGGCATTCACTTTTATAGGGCAACAGTAGCCAATCAGTTCAAAGCGCGCGATGCGGGCTGACTGGCTAACATCAGCTGTTGCTAGGCAGACTATCTTACAGAGCGGGTTGTTTAAGTCGCCAGCACAATCAGGGGGCAGGAAGCAGGCGCCAACTTGACTCACTCAATGGGAGGGGCAATCTAGCTCAGGCTCCGCCCCCACCCACAGGCCCTACGTCCGCCAAGTAAGGCGACCGGTGTCGGCGGCTCCCAACATCTCCCCCTATTTTATTTACTTTGAATGAATGTATGCATCGCAGCCCGCCCTGGATCGAGTGCAGAGGCTTATGCCCTGTGTTGAGGCCCACCGTAGGCCCTTGGCTTGGACCCTGGTCGGCCGTCCCCGGGTCCACCAAGGCCTTGAGACCCTCGTCCTTTTTCCAGGGCCAGGAGTGAACTGGACGGAACCTGGATGCACATAGGCATGCACTCATGCCCCTCCGTGCGATCCCCTCGGAGAGACATCTAGATCTGGGCAGATTCTAGTAATCCAGCGGCTTTCGTGCAGTATGGGGTAGGGCCTGGCTTAGGTCGAGTCGTGCTGGGGAGGCACGCTCTTACCCGTCATTGACTCACCTACCCTGCTGTGTAGTGTCAATAGGGAAGGAGTGCGGAAGACCCGCCACATCTAGACCCGGTCGTAGGCCAGTCGAGCAAGCCATGCGTAAGCCTGGGGGTCATTGTGCCCATCACGGGCTGCTGCCAGGGCTGCATGGGCAACCAGGCGTACTTGACGCCGGGCCGCCGCAAGGCGCCCATTAATAAATGATGTGACCCATCGGAGCAAGCATGGTCCTATAAGTAAGAGCAGAAGCAAGGAGCACAGGGGACCTAACAATGGTAAAATATAGGGGAGCAAGCCATTCCAGGCTCCCCAAAAGGGGTTGTCTTGTAGTTCTTTTCTTCTCTTTTCTAGGTCTTCTTGCAGTTTCTTTAATCGGTCTCGAACGATTCCGGACTTGTTGGCATAAAAGCAGCATCTTTCCTGTAAGGCAATACAGATACCTCCCCTCTCTACAGTGAGTAGATCTAGGCCCCTTCTATTCTGCAGAACAACCTCTGCAAGGGAATCAATTTGATCTTGTATCTCCTGAAGGGTTCTCTCAACTATAGACATGTCTTCTATCAATTGCTTAGATAACTGAGTATATTTGGTTAATGAAACTCCTAGGCCCGCAGTCCCAGCGGCCAGGGCTCCAGTTATCCCCAGACCAGCCAAGAGAGGTAAAATCAGTACATCTCTCTTATGTCTTTTTATAAAGGTGTCCACAGCTGGGATGGGCATGGGTTGGTCCCCAGGGACAATACCAATGTCAGGCAACAAGTAAGCTAGGCCACATAGGCCGGTCCAATTACTGGGCAGGTAGGTATAAGCATGACCATTGCCGCAAGCAAATACTTTGCCAAAGGGGGCACATAGCGGCGAGCTACTACTTACATTGGTTATGGACTCACACGAGGCGACTGCCAGCGCTCCAACAACAATATCATAACTATTATTTTGTGGGTACTTTTGGAAACAGGATGCATTAAACTGTCCCATAAACTGGACCCGAAATGGAGGCCCATGTGAGCAATTATAGGGTGTGCTATAATTGTAAGGTTCACTTTCATAGTCTCTAAACGGCATGGCCAGCGGCCATGATTCTCCCATCATCATACACAGCCAACAATCGGAGGCCAGCCCTGGGTCAGTAAGATTGAGTGCTTTGTGGGTAGCCTCTAATATGGATTCAGTAGCGGGATCAAGGTTAATGCCTCGGGATTTTGGGCGTAGGAGTGGATGGTAATTGACTTCAGGGAACGGATTTAATTGTTCCCATCGCTCGATGACCTGTTCCTGCCGGTACTGGTCTTGGACCCCTCCACCATCAGAGATGTGAACGGGAGCGGTCATAGACCAACAGACCGTTTCTCCAACCTCTCCATTACAACCCGACTGCATGAATGGAGAACTGCCTACAGCAGCGGGAATATGGTTAGGGGCAACAGGGCTTTTAGTTGTAGTTAGTGTTGCCATCCAATAGGTTGTACTCTTAAGTTTGCATTGTTTTGTCTCTGTATAGCATGTAACATGCATGGATTCCTCAAACTTAGTGCAGGGACATGTGGCGAGATCACCAGGCCCTGAGGGACTCACCTTAGGCTTAAGTATGCACTGATAGGATGGTTGACTAAATCCTCCTGCAGTGGAGGGGTACACAACTGAGAATGCTGTTTTATCCCCACAATCGGTCCCTGGTCCTTTTTTGGCGCTAGGTGGTATACTGCTTACCGTGCCACCTCCGCAATCGCACGGACTGCCAAGAAGGCTCGTGCGAAGATCTATTCCAGAAGCGGGGCCCCCCAGCCCCGCATGTACCATACTTATCCTGAGGAGTACTAGGACAACGCCCCCAACGAAAAAAGCAGCCTTTTTCGGGTTCATCTGGCTGTCAGGCCTGCTGCTGGTCTCCGGCAGGACAGGATTAGTCTTCAGTCGAAGGGCTTGTCCAACGCGTCAGTCTTTCTGGGACCCACAATGGTTCTCGTCCCGGTTCCTGCGGGAAAACACAAACCGCACCTCGGTTCCAGCTGACTACCGGATCCGGGCCCATCCATTGTCCCGTCAGGACATCTTTCCATTTTACCCATCCCTTATTGCTAGGAGATGGATTACAATGCTCCATAGCCGGGGGGTGGTTGTTATTGTTCAGGTTTAAAAAATTGTATGTGAATAGTGCCATGGATAGCCGTGCCTTTGGGGGCAGGCCCTGGCCTACTCCCCCTTTTTGTTTACATAAGATTTCTTTGAGGCTTTTATGAGCTCTTTCAATAATTCCTTGGCCTTGAGGATTATATGGGATACCATGTTTTAAGTGTACTTCCATAGTCTTACAGAACTCATTGAAGGCTTTTCCTGTATAGGCTGGTCCGTTGTCTGTCTTTAATATTTTGGGCTTGCCCCACGCGGCCCAAGCCGCTAAGCAGTGATTGATCACATTAGATACTTTTTCACCTGTCTCTGCAGTTGCGAATATAATATGAGAACAGGTGTCCGTGGAGACATGGACATACTTAAGAGATCCAAATTCTGTCATGTGTGTGACATCCATTTGCCAAATATCGCCAGGGATCAACCCTCTGGGGTTAACCCCCATTGATATGGCAGGCGTGTGTGTGGCGCATGAGCCGCACAGTCGCACGATGTCCCGCGCGTCAGCCCTGGAGATGCGGTACTGGTTGGCTAGCGTCCTGGCATTGACATGGAATTTGTCATGGAACTGACGGGCTTGCTCTATTGGAGATAACATATTGAAAATCCATAACGGGCGAGTGGCCGCGTCAGCAGCCGCATTGCCCTGTACCATGGGCCCTGGTAGGTGTGTATGTGCTCTTATGTGAGTGATGTATATTTTGTTGTGTCTATTTATGAGCAATGTCTGGATAGACAAAAACAAGTTAGTTACTTTGGAGGTTGGTTTAATTGGGCCTGCAGTCTCAAGGACCTGCATGGCATTGACAACATATTTTGAATCAGAAACAATATTAAGGGCCCCTGGGAACTTCTCGAGGACGGTTTGTACAATTTGTAACTCTACCACCTGTGGTTGATCTGGTTCAAACTGTATGTTAACTGGAGGCATGCCTGAGACCACATAGGCCCCTATCCCGGTTTTTGACCCATCAGTATAGACTGTTGTTGCAGGAGTAAGGGGTGCAGGGGCGGTGATTTTTGGAAATATCACCGGATGTTGAGTAATAAACTGTAGTATAGGGTCCTTAGGGAACTGATTGTCTATCTCCCCAAGAAATACACATCTCAGGATGGCCCAAGTATCTATGCAAGCAGTCAGAATTTTTATTTGAGAAGCGGTATAAGGCACCCGAATAGCGTGAGGCGTGGAGCCAAAATGCTGGATGGCTCTACTATGTGCCTCCAGAGCCAGAGAAGCAACTGCTTCCGGGTAATGTTCAATAATCTTGGCAGGTGAAACCTTAGGGTGCACCCACAGAAGTGGTCCTTTCTGCCAAATCACTGCCGTGGGCTGGGAACTGGTCTGCAACAAGCAGACCTCAAAAGGCTGTTCTGGGTCAATTCTCTGTAATGTAGCTTTGCTTAGGGCCTCTTCTATCTTCTTTAGAGCAACTCTGGCTTCTGGGGTGAACTCTCTAGGGGAGGCAATATCCGGATCCCCTCTCAGGAGATCAAACAGGGGCTTTAAGTCCGAATTAGGGATGTGCAAGTAAGGTCTGATCCAATTTATATCTCCCAGTAACTTTTGCATGTCATTTAGGGTTGTAAGATTATCTGTTCTGATGGTTACCTTCTGTGGAGAAATCGATGTAGGGGAGACTTTGGTACCCAAGTAAGTCACTATGTCTCCTCCTTGAATCTTGTCAGGGGCAATATGTAAATTAGCCTTTCTCAGGGCCTTGACCAGTTGGCCTAGCATATCCTCTAACCTATTTATGTCCTTCGCACTGATCAGCAGATCATCCATGTAATGAATGCACCTAACTCTGGGGAAGGCTTTGCGTAGGGGGGCCAGTAGGGAATCAAGGTAAATCTGACACATAGTGGGACTGTTGGCCATACCTTGGGGCAGCGTTATCCACTCGTATCTGAGATCAGGGCTTTCTTGGTTAATGGTGGGTAAGGTAAAGGCGAACCTATGGGTGTCCTCTGGATGCAGGGGGATTGAGAAGAAACAGTCTCTAAGATCTATAACATAAACTGGCCAGGACTGAGGGATGGCTGAGAGAGCTGGCAGCCCCCTCTGGACCGCCCCCAGGGGCTGCATCTGCGCGTTGACCGCCCTTAGATCATGGAGCAGCCTCCACTTACCTGATTTCTTTCTAATAACAAAAACAGGGGTATTCCAAGGGGAGGTTGATGGCTTTATGTGCCCTGCCTGAAGCTGGGTTTTGACTATCTCGGTTAATGCTAAAAGCTTCTCCTTGGGTAGGGGCCACTGAGGTACCCAAACCGGATTCAGGGACTTCCAAGTGATCTTAATTGGAGTAGGCAGGAGAACTTCCTCAGCGGCCCCTAGGAAAAACCCAGCCCGTGTCTACCTTCCCTTTTTTCTACAGGTACGGGAGATGTCCGGCCCTGCAGGGCAGAGCCCAGGCCCTTGCCGGGGACATATCCCTGATTCTTAAGTATACCCTTGGCTTGGGGAGAGCAGGTGGATGTAAGAGTGACATCCATCTGAGTGAGGATGTCTCTTCCCCACAAAGATACCGGCAGCTGTAGAACAAAAGGTTGAAAATGTCCTTGGTGACCCTCCTCATCACACCAAGGCAGGGTCACGGCACTAACCTGGGGGGCAGCCACCATCCCCAACCCTTGGAGTGTGTTATCAGCTGTATTGGTGGGCCAGCTAGAAGGCCAGTCCCTCTTGGAGACAATGGAGCGGTCTGCCCCTGTATCCAGGAGTCCTGTTATATTTCTACCATTAACCCTGAGCGAGAGCATGGGTCTTTTATCAAGAGTCATATGAAGTCCTTCAAAAATTTCTCCAGAGGAGCCAAAACCCTGATCCCCTCTAACCCGTTGTCTAGACTGGAATCTCTCATGGAGACTGGGGAGCAATAAAAGTTGTGCTATCTTATCCCCCTCATTAATCACCATGGTCCCTACATGAGATTGGACCATAATCTTAATGTTTCCTGTGTAGTCTGAGTCTATAACCCCAGGGAGCACGGTAAGGCCCCGGAGGGCTGTGGAGGACCGTCCAATCACTAAACCAACTGACTTTTCAGGTAGCGGTCCTTTGAAGGTGGTCCCGACCACCTGAACGCCCATATCGGGCGCTAATAGGAGTCTGGAGGCGACACAGAGGTCCACGCCTGCTGACCCAGGGGTAGCCCTTGTGGAGGGCTGCCACCTTGTGTTGTCCTGTCTAGGGGGCGGGGGCCCGTCCGTAAGGAGGGCCCCCTCTGGCCGTTTTTTGGCTCCTGAATCCCCCTGCCACTAATACGGTTTCCCTGGGCATCAAAAACTGATCTGCAATCTTTCGCTTTGTGTGTTCCCTTCCTGCATCGTTCGCACACGCCTATTGGCCCTTCCCGTGTATTAACACTGTGCGGACAGTCTCTCCTAATATGCCCTGGTTCCCCGCAGCCAAAACATCCTTTGGGCTTACGATCTCGCTTAGGTCCAGAAGCATCCTTAGCTTGTGCTGTCGCGGCTACAAAGGCCGCCGCAAGCTTTGCTGCAGTCATCTGCCCTCCAATCTCCCTACAAATCCTAATCCAAGCATTGAGATCCTTGTTTTTATGCGGGGCAAGAGCCGCTTTGCACTCTGTTGTGCATTGTTCAAAAATGAGTTGTTTGATCAGGGGCTTTGCCACCTCTTGGTCTGAAAAAACTTTATCGCCCGCGTCTTGCATCCTAGCCACGAAATCAACAAATGGCTCTGTGGCACCCTGCACTATCTTTGAAAGGCATAATGAGGCCGCCCCCGCACCGTTCACCTGTTTCCATGCGCGGAGCCCAATATTAGAGATTTGGTCATACACCTCATTGGGGAACTGAGTTTGGTCATCCCTATATTTACCTGAGCCCTGGAGCATATCTTCGTTCCACCTTGCATGCCCCCTGCTAACATTCTTTTCTGCTTGCTCGATGGCAAACTCGGCATACCAGGCTCGCCAATCAAGATAACTACCCGAAGGAAGGCATGCCTTGGCTAGCTGCATCCAATCACCTGGTGTAAGAGGCTGAGAGGCAAGATTCTCTAGCATAGCTATAGTATAAGGAGCTGTGGGCCCGAAGGTTGTGACAGCGCTTTTTAATTCTCTAATCTGTTTTATTTCAAACGGTTCCCAAACATTGCGCCCTTGGCCTGGGGCCATTTGCACAGGATATACTCCATAAAGACCGTAATCCATTCCTTGCATCGGTGGATCCCCTCCGGGCCATCGTTCACCCCTCCATAACCGCCCATGAAAATATCGTCCGCCCCGCGGCGCAGCGTCATAAGACGGCGGTCGCGACAGAGTGGAACGGGGCGTCACTTCCTGTGCCGGCTGAGAGAAGGGAGGGTTCCCTGTAGCGGCCTCTCGGCGGGGAGCCGCTTCTGGAAAAGAGCTCCAGGGCGGGGCGGATGGCTCTCTGTCTCCTCCCCGCCAGAGAGCGCTCAGGGGCCCTTTCTCCTCTCTCTGCTTTTCCCGGGTGGCGCACGCACACAATTCCAATTCACGGCGCAACTCGGCATAGGGGTTTTTGGCCTCTCGGCTTCCTGCCCCACCTTCTGGTTCCTCCTCGCTATCTAAGTCGAAGGACTCTAGAGCTTGGGTGTCCTCTATCTTTCCCTGGATTTTTTCCCCTTGGACAGATCCCTCCCGAGAGCATTCCGACTTTGCCTGCTCAAAAGCCTTGCGTGCGTCTATGATTTCCGCGTCTCTAACTGCTGACGGGAACCCCTTCCCCTCCCCTTCAAGGCACGCATGTATCATTTCCCACAGGGGGCGAATAGCCGGCGAAATATCCCCTTCCAGTTCCGCCGAGGCGAGGTCCCCGCCTAACTTCTCCCATGACGGCAGGTTTAAATGCCCCGTGGTAAAAACCAGGGAGCTACCCTATCTACCTCTGCTATGAATAGTTCCAGTGTTTTTTGACCTACCCTGAGGTCTCTAGCTTTTAAAAGCTTTCTAAGGGCCTTTACCAAGGGCCGCGCCTCCGCGCTCGGTAAATTACCCATCTCTAACCTCTAAGGGCTGTAACTCACCGCGTGTGACTTAAAGAACCCGTCACCTACGCGTGAGCCTGAGGGGAGTCTAAAAGCCCTGTAGGTGCGCGCCACCCAGAGCCCAGGCTTATCCCCACTCACCTGTCCGGCAGCACCACGCTGGAGCGTTGCACACCACCGCCGTGTCTCGGGGTTGATCAGTCCCCGTGCGGGTCACCAAATGTCGATGTCGCTCCTGGCCTGCAGGAAGAACACGCGACAGATTCTGACAGTGTGCAACCTTGCCTTTATTTGTCTCCACGTGGGCCCCGCGAGGCCTCCTCTCTGCCACCAGCCCTTTCTCGCCGGTGGACTTTCTCTATCTCTCTTTGTGCTTCCTCTCGTGGCGGGAAAGGCATTCACTTTTATAGGGCAACAGTAGCCAATCAGTTCAAAGCGCGCGATGCGGGCTGACTGGCTAACATCAGCTGTTGCTAGGCAGACTATCTTACAGAGCGGGTTGTTTAAGTCGCCAGCACAATCAGGGGGCAGGAAGCAGGCGCCAACTTGACTCACTCAATGGGAGGGGCAATCTAGCTCAGGCTCCGCCCCCACCCACAGGCCCTACGTCCGCCAAGTAAGGCGACCGGTGTCGGCGGCTCCCAACAAGACTGACTTTCATTTTCCCTCTCTTTTCTCTCTCTCTCTCTCTCTCTCTCTCTCTCTCTCTCTCTCTCTGTCTCTCTTCCTCTCTCTTTGAAGGGTCTCACTCTGCAGTCCAGGCTGGCCTGGAACTCCCGGTGATCCTCCTGCCTCTGCCTCCCAAGGGCTAGGATTACAGGCCTGTGCCACCACACTCTGCCTAAGGGAGGTTTTCTTGAAATCCCAAAGCAAAAACCACTTAAATGTTGTGCATTACATGTACGACATGTTTTCTTCTAATTGATACAATTTTGAGTTCTTGAACCGATGATTGGTAGATGAATGTGTCCCCTTCAGAATAATTTATTTATACTTAAGACTTGCACTTTTCTTTTTATAGCCTTTGTTTAAAATCTTTTAAAAATTTACCATAACAAAAGAGGGTGTTAAATGTTCAAAGGAAAGCTACAGGCTTCAAGAAGCTATAGTCAACACATGCAATTAATAAAAGCTTAATGACGTCATCAAACCTACAAAAATAAAAACTACAAAAGAAAATCTACCTTTGGAAATTACTGAATAACTAGCAAATCAATGAAAAGTGTTAGCTGTCAGAAATAATTAGGATATAAAAAGTAGCAAAGCACACTTATCACACTTACCACACTGAGGCAAAGATGAGCTTCCCATCAGCTGCCCGAGGGTTAGGACGGAGGTACCTGCTGAGTAGCAGCCTGGCCGATACTCAGCGAGGCTGCAGCAGCAGGTGGAGTCCAGCGCGGGGCTCTGGGGCAGTGTCTGCGGGCACCAAGAGATCAGCCGTGCCCCTCGCTCGCTTGCTGCAGTTTGGCATTTTCAGCTCAAAGTAAATGTAACATTAAACAGCCAAGCTGTGACCCCCAGGGAATGTTTAGGTTTAAGAAAGGATTTTGATAAAGACACCCTGCCTTGAGTCGCCCCAGACCCTGCTCCTTGCTTCCCGTGCATTTATCCCACCACTTGCCGCTCTGCAGCGGTTCCCGAGTCCTCTTCCCTGAGTGTCTTCAGCTGTGCTGTCACGGCTGACTCAGATACCACTTTTTGTGATCATGTTGGGTTCATGGCACAGCCGGAGGTCTCAACGTGCCATAGCTGGTGGATGAGGAAACACTGTGAAGTTTTTACCAGCCTGGCTTTCCGCTGGATGGTACTTGGAAGCAGTATTCACCAGTTTTGATCACGTCTCTTAAGGACACTCATGAAGTTTCCTTGCCGCTGTTGCACTGGTCGGAGGACCACACTTGGCGACCACGAGTTTTGGCGGAGGGGCCTTCCCACAGAGTGCACGGAGAGGAGGGTAGAACTGTGGGGCCCTGGAAAGCAATACTCAACAACAGGCACATTCGTGCGGGGCGCCTGTCAGTTAATGCGGCCGTGTGGCAGCCACACTGAGGGACTTTTGTTTTGAATAAGAGAATCAGAATTCACACATGAGTTCATACAGCACAGTGTAGGCACTGACAAATCTCACCAAGCCTTGATAGGCAACATCACCAACCTGAATTTTACAATGTAGTGGCACCCATGGTAACTGAAGCAAAAAGCATTTTGAAGTTCAGGCTCCAATGTTCTCTATAACATATAGCATACACACGCGTATATGCTTAGAAATCTATATTGGCCTCCAAAGTAAATTTTATATCTGATATAATAGCAAAGAGATACACAGCAAGAAATTTAAGTAGGATTTAAAAACCGAGATCCAAATTTTAGCATCGTATTAGCTTCACTGCTAAATGAATTTCGGTTTTATTTCCACTTAACTAAATGACTCTCTGGCCGTCTGTGTCCTTGAGGGATTAAATGTGAATTAGAAGTCCTCCATGGCTTTCCATCCAAACCCATTAAGGGACATTTAGCCTGGAGAGATTCTCTTACCTCTGACATTGCCTAATGGGCTTTCCCTGTTATCGGAGGCTGCATGACTTAAACCTGATTTGCCAGAAGAAGCTGCTCTGTGGATTTTTCTTTTCTTGATGGCATTTTCACGTCTGAAACTCTTCATCTGATGTTGAATAGAACCCATGTACCTACTGATTTATCTGTAATGGGAGCAGTTTTAATTGATATTACAATAGTTTTTTAAAGTGACATTTTGTTTGATGAGTATTTTTTCCTCTAAAAATTAGGTTAACAAGTTCCTATTATTTCTGCCTATGCTTCATATTCATCTTTTCCATTTTTTGGTGAGGCTGTCACTACACAGATTGAGTTTGGCACCATGATAGGTACAATCAGCAAACCATTAAAATTACCTGAGAATACCTCACAAATACACGTTTCCTGATCTACGTCCCCAAGTCTGACCCTGACAGACTACTTTGGGTCCAAAGTTTCCTGGCTGCATGTGGAACTGAGCTGCCTGCTGAATCTTTAGGAGACTTGGACAATCCCCCGAAAACCGCGAATGAGAGGGACGCCCAGCCTTGCTCCACACCACGGGGCGGGAAGATGCGAGTTTTCCTGAGAAGCAGGCTCAGCTTGAAAATATGCAGCATCAAGCATGAACCATCTGCTCTCAGAAACTTGGATCTCCTCTTTGGGTCCAGCTGCGCTGTCCTTCAGAGCCAAGACTAATACCCCTCCTTGGCTGCCCAAGGCCGTGCACCTGCATGAACTCTCCTGCCAGTGCGGTGTCCCTCACTTGGGTCTCTGATGCCACAACTTCTTTCCCTTGGGGCTCACGGAGCTCACAGGTCTTTGGGCTCCTTTGGGAGCTCCAGAAGCTCTCCCCGCGCCAGGGAGGTCACTGCGGAGAGATGCAAAAGAAGGCAGTGATTACTGGCTCAGAAAGTAGACCCTCCCTCAGCCCTGTTTAAAAAGGGAACCCAGTGTTACTGCCCCTGCGTGGGAATTCCATGCGCCCATGTCCCCACGCCTTGCATGATGTCACCATTCCGAAATGACCTGGGCATAGGTGTAAATCCGGTGCTAGATGAAATCTGCTTAAAAGTGCATAGTAGTCTCCCGCAGGAACCCCGAAGTGGAGCATCAACACAACAGTGTCGGGTGGTACCTGCTGAATGCTGCTAGCCTATTGTTTAGCAAAGACTTTTGCAGCACATTCTATGGGCGCTTTACAAACAGGATGTTTTACATCGTCAAAACAGTCCTGTGAGATAGTTGGTCCTGCCAGGCTGCTTTGTGCAGTCAAGTATTTATGCCAGTAGTTAGCTTGGGTGTAGATTAGTGTAATTTCCATTTTACAGATTGTTACTATAAACGGCTTTAGAATCCCTTCCAGTCCTGACCTGTTTGAAGCTCTGTTTTTCTGTCATTCTGTCATTCTGTCAGTCAGTCTGTCTGTCTGTCTTTCTCCATACACACACACACACACACACACACACACACACACAGACGCACTGGAGATTTCAAAGCAACACATGAAACACAAAGCAAAACACTGCTCTGGGGCGTGCCCTAGGCATAGGAAGCCTGAACGTGCACTGAGAATATGCAATGGCCCAGAGTGAAGGGAGGAAGGGGAACAGTTGCAGTGCTGTGAGCAGAGTCACCCTTGAAAATAATTTAGCTCCTTTGAAACCCTGGCCCTGCCCTTTGATCCAGCTGGGCGGGCGGCCTGGGGCAGGAATTCGCACCTTCAGGGCTGCTCCTGACTTGCAGGGCAGGGACCTCCCAGGCCAAGGGACACACCTGGAGGAGCAGTCCCCAGGGACACACCTGGAGAAGAGGTCCCCAGGGGCCGACCTCCAGCTGCTGTGCCTTCATTAATCCCCACGCAGAGGGGAGCCAGGGCCCAGGCCAGAGCTTTGCAGCAGGAAACATCTCCACCCCAGGGAGGTGCTCGGTCCCCACACAGCAGAGTTTCTAAACTGGATCTAGTTGGATCAGTCACCGCCTTCCTTTGGCTCCTCATCCTTGCATGCTGAGAGCCTGTGCCATCAGCTGCCAGACTAAAAGAGCAGACAACCAGAGGTATTCTATGGGAAGAGCAAAGAGCACCTCTCAGCGCTCTCTCCCTTCCTCCCTCTCTGTGAGTTAATCAGGTGTCCATGGATGTGATTGCCTCATGTTTTGGAATAGCTTAACTTTCTAAAGCAGAATTACAGAACAACATTGCAGTCACCGCATGTGACATTTCTCATAGTTTTCAACATGAATAATGAAAGCACAGTAATGAAAGAAATATATTTTAAACATCTCAGAAGCTTTTATTATGGGCGACCCTGCACACAGCCTCAGACTGGCTGTTAGCAGGGAGCAGCGGGACCCTGCCAGCCCCGTCACCCTGCTGGTCTCCCAGCTCACTGCTCGGACAGAGCCTTTGCCAGGCCAGTGGGTGCGGGTGGCTGGGAGGTCAGCCTTGAGGGACGGGCTCCTGCTGGACAAGAACCACAAGCACGTACCCGGACACTCAGCTTCATTTTTAAAGCAACATTCTTCCTCTCCCCTAATCACTGATGTAATTACATAGAATGACAGGAAACACCTTATGGGGTGCCTCCTCCTACAAAGGCCAAGGCCGCTGATATTACGTGGAAGGGGATGAGAGGCAGGTGGAAATAAACATGGGGTGCAGGGAAATTTGAGACAGGACCTGAAACTCTCAGGAAGAGCAACAATAAATATGCAGGCAAAGAATTAAGATAAAAGAGGGTGAAGGATAAACAGAGCACAGGTGACAGATTGCTTTGAAAGGCATCTCAAGGGTTTCAGAAGTGTTTAACGGCGCCAGGGCCCTGAGCGTCTCCTGGGAGGGCAGCTGAGGGAGGTGAGGTCCCTGTGAGCAGAGTCCAGGTGTGTGGACCCATGATTCCGCCGCAGATGAATGACTGGGTACGCCGAATAAGAGACGGTACTGAAAGGCAACACCTTGTTCCTGCCTTACAGGGGGATGCTTAACAGAGAGCACTTTCTGAAGAATATAAACAGAATCACAGGAAGAATTCATTCCATTCTGGGCACATTGAACGGTAGATGCCTGAGAGAGCGCCAAGTGAATGCGGCATATCCGGGCCCG